AGACCCGGGTGGCGAGGCAGAGTGGTCAATGGAGTGAAAGGGAGGCGCTGACCGACAGATGTGGGGGTAGGTGGGTGGGAGTGGGTGAGAGGTGGAGGGAGAGGGGCAGGCTGAGGGGCATGGGGTGTGGGGAGGCCAAGAGCAGATGACAAATGGGGGAAGACACAGAACAGGAGCACAGGCCAGAAATGGATGGATAGCCCCTCTGCCTCCCGCCCAGGCCCTCACCTTCCCAAACCAGCCGCTGCCAATTTCCTGCAGGTAGCTGAGGTGCTGTCGGCTCAGGCCCAGGGGGGTGCTGATGTCTGATGGGGGGGCAGGAGGGGAGGCCCTGAGCTCCTCCTCTCCTTTCCAGGATGCCCCACACCACCACAGTAGGTGGGGTCTGAGATCAGAGTAGACAGCAGTCCCCGTTTATTGGCTGTCTCCAACATTCCATGGCAGGGGCCAGCCTCCTCATTGGCTGGCCATGAGATCTAGAGTCCAATCAGCCCTTCCCTTTGGCAACCCTAGCTCCAAGACTGGTTAGTCAGCTCAGTGATAGGCTGGCTTCCCAGGTTGAGATCCAGGCTGATGGCACCAGGGCCATCCTGCAGGATTCTGTGGTTTTCTTCGAGATGGTGCGTGTGGCCTCCCTACAAGTTACTTCCCTCTACCCTCCCTGAGCCACGAAAGGAAGCTCTCAGTGCTGGGACCGCGGGATGCTGGGGTGGACGGGCAGTACCTGAGTGTGCAGGCTGCGGGGCAGGCACTGGCAGTGAAACTTCTGCCAGCGGCAGAATGTAGACATCAGGCAGCGACTGTGAGGAGGAGGTCTCCTCCGCAGGGGGGGTGTACTCCCCAGAGCAGTCCTCCCCTTCCGGATTCTCAAACTCCTGGGGTGCGAGAGGGGAAGAATGGGAACACCGGGAGGGGGTGCTGAGACGCCAGCGTCCTACCCTAATTGCCTTCCCACAATTCACAGACATGTCCCTCAAATCTCAGCCCCATTTCCGCTAGAGTGAGGATCCCAAGTTCCCAGGTTTGGGAGTGCTCTGGGACTTCCAGCTCCTTCGCTGGATGGGGTCTTTCTCCCCAGGTTAGTCCCAGGGCACCTCACCTTGAAACGAACATCACCCCGTTTGCAACAGAGACAGGTAAGAAGGAGGAAGATGAAGGCCAGCAGACCGGAGCAGGAAATGAGGACCACAGCATAGGGCGGAGCCAGAGGGGCTCGGCTCAGAGCGAATCCATCTGTGGGCACAAGGCTGGGCTGGGGTCCGGGCTTCAAGACACTGGCTACGGGACTCCATGCCCCGCCCATCCTGGGCTAGTCTTGGACTACAATTCCCATGATGCTCCGCATCCAGGGCCCCTTGGCAGAGAGGCCCGGTGGCCCAACTTATTGTGGGAGTTGTAGTTTAAGGCCTTCCCAGGTGGTTGGGGGTGGGGTCCCTCTTTTCTTCCCAAGCTGGGACCCACCTCCCCACCACCACTCGCCCCAAACGCATCCCCTAACACATATTTGGATACATTCCAGTGACGAGCACTAGTGAGGCCTGGAGCTCTCAGAATTTATAATATGCTTCCACGGAAAGCTTCATGACCCCCCTCCCAATTGCGGGTTG